CTAGAATGAGAATAAGTTCAATCATTTATTTCTCTTTCATTAAACTAAATTTAATATTTGTCAATCTTTGGTTACACAAGAACTATATTAATTTCATCTTTATTTTCTTGATCTTTGTTATTAACAAAGTTTTCTGATTTTTTCACTAAAAAACCTTGACTTTCTTATTGCATTCAATAAATTTCTTCATCATCATTTTTTAAACCTATTATTTGAGCTCTATTTTGTCCCAACCGTTTTGTCCTCTTGGATTTTATTTTTTTTACCATATTTTTGTTTGAAATTATGATCTTCGTTATATCGAAATAAAAAATTGAATTGCAAATGCAAATGCATATCCAATGTTAAGTCAACACTCAAAATTAGTGTGTACACTGAAACAATAAAGATGACGTGTTTAAATAAATATAATTTAGATATAACTTATGTTTCAACTAACTTATCTACAAAATTAAAACATTTTCAATTTATATAATTTGGACTTTTTTTTATTTCTTGCTTGGATAAAAAATAATGTAAGCTAATTGAAAATATCAATTTAATAATTAGTAACAAAATGAATACAGTAAATTTAATAAATTAATTTTATGAATTTTACTAAATAATTGAAAGTTATCGATTCTAAATAAAATGAGACAAATTTGTATTCATTATATAAAGCCTGGATTAACATGTGTTTGAGCAATATTATAATATACCAAGATTTGACATAGTTAATCCCCATATTCTACTTTTCAACCAATATTATTTATATTTAATTTAAATATCAAAATGAGTTTTACTTCTTTACACTATTATTACGAAATCGAATAGTTTAGGAATTCGAATAGAGCAATACCTCGCACAGTGCGGATAATCGTTTCCGTTAATATCGCGAATTGTTTAAAACCACACTAATCGAGGGACTAAACAGACAATTTGTGCAAAAAAAAATTGTGAAAATTAAAAATTTATTTCTTTTGATATGTAGTGAATCCGGACTGATCGAAACCGTACTATCCGAGATATTGATTCCTAAATCTATTTGATATCATAATAATAATGTAAATATGAAATAATCGTCCAATGACAAAATATGTTCCAATATTTTTTTTTAAATTACAAGAAAACAGATTTTAGAAATTCGGTCCAAATAGGACGAATTAAAATGTATTAAGAAAAAAAAACATATTTCTATTGTTTTTATAATAAATTGTGGAATTATATACATTTTAAGTACGTAAAAGCAGAAAATTGGAAATACATGTATATATTTGATATAATTAGATAAGATTAGTTTTATGATGTATAATATAATGTAACTCATTAATGCCGCAAACTATTTGTTGATTTTTTTAAATAACATTTAAAGTATATTGCTTTCCTTGCTAAAAAAATGTATATACAATTTTAAAAAATACAAAGATTTTAGTTTATGTTATTATTTTTCTACAAAAAGTAAAATTAAATAAAAAATACAGTGGGACCTCACTTAACAAACACCTCGAATAACGAGCATTTCGCTTAACGAACAAAATAAATTGTAAGAAAACAAGCGACGTTTCGCATAACGAGTGACGATGAAAAGAGAAGTCTCAGATTTCGCGTCTGCTACATTATTTTTAAAACTTGTGTACACATATTATGGGTCTATATCGCAAGCCCGACAACGGAAAGACCGTCTGTTGAAATCCCGACGTTCGAAATCCCGAGTGTATTGAAATCCCGACGTTCAAAATCCTGGCTGTATTAAAATCTCGACTATGTCAAAATCCCGACTACCATAATTCCAACAATCAAAATCCCGACTATATCGAAATCCCGACTGTATAGAAATCCCGGGTTTTCCATAGACGATATTTCGGTTGTCGGGCTTGCGATTGCCACCGACATATTATATGTAGTTTTTAATTTGTTTCACTATACGAGTATTTCACTATCCGGAAATTTTGGAACGAATTAAACTAGTTAAGCGAGGTTCCACTGTATAGTTAAAATATTTCAGCAAAAGCTGGGGTAAAAAAAAATAATTGGTCTTTATTTACAAATAAAGTAAAATGTAAATTTTTTACGGTACAAATTGATTGCAAATTTGTGTATGAAATAAATTAAACTTAGCAATTTGACCAAATTGTTAATTTTCTTTTGTTATTGTTTATTAAGTTAATTACAGTTTGCATCTTAAACACAAACAATCAACTTTACTCATATTTTAAAATTAAACGGTTTCTGTAATAAGTAGGATTTTGTTAGCTCTGAAAACGTAGTTTCGTTTAACGAATTAATTTCATCAACTGTTCTTTATTTTCTATTATGTTTATAATTTATTTGATTAATATTTATCATAAAATATGTGAATGAACGAAAAATAAAAATAAATTGTATACGAAAAATTGAAAGAATTTAAGTGTTATTAATATTAAAATCTATAGATAAACAAGTTAAACGTATGTTATAAGCCTTGATAACTATAAAATTGAATGAGAATTGAAATATTGAGCATTACTATTTAATTTACAATTCACTTAAAAATCAATAATTTTTTTTTAATACACAATGTCCTAATCGAATTCAATGGATACGGGATACCATGTCGAGAGACTTATGTTCTTTGTAAATTCGTGATGCTTTGTGCGTCCTTACAAGACTTTGGTGAGTTTCCTCACGCACGCTCATAAATACCATAAACCTTCTGACACTTCGCTACCTTAATTAATGCAGGAACTATGCATGCATGCGACAAATTCTAAATTTGGACCAAACAACTGGGCCACACAATTACCTCACCTCGATTTTTCTACCCTTATCTCAGGCTAAATACTTCAAATTATTATGCACATTTTGAACAAGAATAATACAGATTTGAATGTAAGTTTCTATTGTTTCTTAAAAGAAGTATACATAATTTAATGTATAATATATTTTTTTAGTTATTTTATTCCAATTGTCGCAGAAATATTTAAATAAAAAAAATATTAAACAAATAAATAATCTACAACATTCATACAAATCATTACAGTAAAAATAAACAAACTAAATTTTAATTAAGCAAAATAAAAATGAATTCAAAAGAAATTTGTTTTTAAAATAAATAAAGTCAAATCTCGTTTTGACTATTTATTTTTATTCGGTTTTTAAATTTACAATTAATAAATGTATATATTTTGAATTTCTTTAATGATTTTTTTTTTCAAACAAAATCTAACAGAAATATTATAACTAGATATAGAAAATTATATATTTTATAGCTTTCTCAGAACTCAATTATAAGCAAGAAATGTATTTTAAACATTTGTTAATTTTACTTTCATTAATGACATAAAATTATTCATCATACATATCACATGCATATTTACTTATCTTATCTGAATTTAAATATTTTACTCGCAGGGGATTTACATAATATACATAACAACCTTTATGATTTTCTCCATATTGAGTTCCTGAAGTACAGTATTATTAGACAATTTGGAAAAAATATAAAATAATTTATGAAAATCGAATTACTTTTTATTATCGATATGTGAATAATACAATTTCATTTGTTTAAAAATCTGTATTTTTTATATATTTTCTGAATTCGAAATACAATTTAACAATTGACGAAAACTTGAAACTAATTGAAAGTAATTGTTAATAAAAAATAATGTGAAAAAAACGTATTATTTTCAAGAACTTTATTAACTAATTCATATGATAAAGCTATTTTTTACAACTTAATATAATAGCAAACGTTTATAGAATATAATAAAAATATTTTGCGTAATATTTTTATTTTTTTGGAATTTGGACAAAAAATAACTTAAGTTTTTCTGTTTTAGTACAATTTAACCATTTTTATAATTTACAATTTTTGTATCTACTTATTTATAAAAGTATAATAAAATAAAATATTTCTCTACAAAAAATTAGTATATTTTCAAAATTTGTAATTAAATATATTTGTTAATTCATTCATAATGTTAAACGTAAAATTTATTAAAAAAAACAATTCTAAACAATTATAAAAAAAATTAATTCAGTAGTGCAAAAAATTGTTGAAAGATAAACAATTTGTGATGAAACTAAATAATGTAAGTGTTAATGGTAAAAAAGTAAACTTAAGAATTATTGGAAAAAAAGAGGTAATAATTTATTTTATTAGATTTTCTAGAAAAAAAATGGGAAATAATAATAATTTTAAAAAAATCTATTGAGTCTTCAAAAACTAATTTGATTTCACAACTTAATTAAAAATATTTATGCATTTTTGCATTTTTATTTTAAAAATAAAAATAATTAAAAAAAAAATATCGAAATAAAAATAATTTTCTGAAATGTCATAGTTTTCAAAAAAGAATAATTCTATTCAGTGTTGAAAAAAATATATCTTTTAACAATTTGTGGTGAAACTAAATAATGTAAGTGTTAATGGTAAAAACAAAGTTAACTGAAAAATTATTGGAAAAGAAGAGGCAATAATAATTATCGAATGCGTTTTGGAAACTCCGGTTTCTGTGATTATTATTACTCGATGCTAGGGAAAAGCGAATGGAGAAAAAAGAAATTTCGAGGGATATTAAGGAAAATTTATTTTATTAGATTTTCTGGGAGTTTGTTGGAAAAAAAAGAGGAAAATGAGTAATAACAATAATATAAAAAAAAATGAATGTATTTGCCAGTGGCGGGGATAAAAGGGAGAAATGGAGGAAAAAAAAAGTGGGTTAACTTCGGCGTCGCGGACGTCGTAATAAAATGGGGAACGGACAACTCGGGGGGAAGAGGAGAGTTGTTGGGATGGTTAGGAAAACGAGGATAGGAGAAAAAAAAGGAGGGGGAGCACAAACACACATGAGGAAAGAAAGAGAAGTATGATGGTAGAGGGTAAAGTTTCGACGCTCCGCTGTCGCGTGGATAGCTTTTGTGAAGGCGCCAGAAAGCTCGGCGTCAATGCATATATATACATATATATTTGTGTGTGTTCGTGTCTATATATATAGTAAGAGATTGGTAAGGGTGGGGAATCCCCTACATTCGCATCACAACAACTAAACTAGTAAACGCCAGTCGCCGAATCCGTCGGTGAAGCTCTTCGGAAGAGCATCGATCTCACCAGACGCAACGAACCGGCCGAGCCATGCAGACCCTCGTCGTGGCAGGTCTCTTCCTCTTCGCCCTCTTTAAGATTGGTATATCCTCAAGTTAAGCAGGATTCTAAATTAAAAAAAAACTATCACCGATTCACGTGTTTGCAGGATATTGCATAGACTGCTACAGCTGCATATCCAGCGATAATCCTGACTGCGTAGATCCGGAAACCCATCACCTGGATAGGGTCCGATGCGATCAGAAGTCTCTCAGCGATACGGAGAAGTTCGCCAAGAGTCTGACTCCTGATTTTGGAAAGATCTTCGAGGTTCATATCCACGAGCACCGCGTGCCTCTGAACTGCCTCAAGCAGGTGACCAAAGGTAAAAACAACAGCTACCATCAAAATATATCTGCTTGAATCAATAACATCCAACCGGTTTGGTGCCAATTCCATTTCTAAATTAGCTAGACAACAGTGTGAAAGGGGTCGATGCCTCGTCCTCGACGATGAGTAGTTGCGCCCTCTTATATACTTAGGTATATATATACATCAGCGTATACACACTCCTTTATGTTCGCTCGCTAAATCACTGCACGCTTTAATCAACTTAGTTTATTTTTTGTTCACACCCCGTCCCATTTTACTAAATTAAACAACCTATGAAATCAACGTAAACAAGTCTACTACCCTTATTATTTCACCCAATCCCTTAAATTGTTATCATTATAAATGTTCACTAGAAATACTCAAGTTTCAATTTAAAATTTATTACTTTTCTACAAATCCTTTAAGAAATTTGCTTTATTAACATTACACAAATCTTTCATAACAATTAGTAATATTATCAAATATTAACATTACTGTTTTATATAAATTTTATTTCAATAATAATACAAATATTTCAAAAACTTCTAATCTAATTTTCAACAAAATTTTATATATTTTTTTTATTTAAATATTTCATGCAATTATTATTAAAATGATTTAAATAAAAAATCAAACATTTCAAAAACTTCAAATTAAAAACTGATTATTAAAAAAAGAATGTAATTTAAAACATTTTCCTTCGAATAATCATATTTAACAAAAATAAAAACATAAATTGAAAAATAAGTTTTACTCTTTCATAAAATTTGGTATAGTTAATTGCTTAATCTAAATTTATTGACCTCAAGGTCAGCTCATCCATAAAGGCTTTAGAAACCCCACCTATATTTGTATAACTTAATGAGTCATGGATTAACTGACAAAAATAGAGAAACTTTCAAAAAAAACGAAGTTGTTTTTGGCCCCTGACCACACCTACTTCTATTGTTATCAAGTACCATAAAGATAACATGAACTGTAATAGCTAAAAACTAGAAATTCAGTAATGAACATTATTTTACACTAAAATGAACTTAAATACTAAATGTATTCTAGAATTATACATTGAATATGTTACATATTTATCAATACTCGAAACTTTAATTGTATAACATTATCCTGGAACATTTTGTATATATAAATGTTAAAATTGAATAATCAGAATACATTTGCTTAATAATTGAACAAAAAATTTGCATTATCTATTTCAATTCAATTTCAATTTTAAAATTCTTTATTCAGTGTAGATGCATGCATATACAATGGTGTTATTATTAAGGGGTGGCGTACATGTGAGCTTGAGCTCATTTAGCCAGATTATCTATTTTAATTAATAATGTTTTTATAATTGGCAATTAATGAAAGAAATTGTTATTAAAAAAAACAATGACAAAAGTCACTACTTTTAATCTGACTATTAATACTTCAAAAATAATTGATCTCTGTTGTGCGTATTAAATAATAATTATTTGTTTTATTTCTTTTCATGAAAGTTTCAAAACTTATTTGTTAAACTTTCCACAAAATTACCATTTGAAATAATATAGTTTACGTAACTATGTAAGTTATAGAAGTAACAAGTAAGAAAATAATCATCTACACCAATGATTCTCAAAGGGTGGGTCGCGACCCCCAGGTGGGGGTGGGGCACATAACATATTTGGGAGGTCGCAAAAAATTGATGACAAATCAATCCTGGTTATTTTTCTACACATTCTTCGGTTTTATGTCGCAAAAACGTATCATGTCCAAAAGGGAGTTGCAGACAAAAAGTTTGAGAATCACTAATCTACTACACTAAATAGATACGAGCATTTATTCATTGACGTTGTGAATCATATAGAATGAAATCAATATTTTTAAGGATCTCAATGAAATAAGACTTTCACAAATATTTTCATCGTGACTATTGAAATAAGAAAATCAATCAATTACATCTTTTCTTAGACTATTATTAAAAATATTATATAAATTGAAAAAAATTAAAGAAATAGATATTTTTCTAATAAATTTATTTAAAAAAAATATTAAAATTAATTTAATTTAATTTTAATACTTATATATTAGATTTTTTTATGTTATTCGACCTTTCTTCATATTTATTACTATACTAATGCATGTATACTAAATGATCAAAGTATGAATATTTTAATTATATCAATTTCCTAATTTACTTGGAATTTAATGTATACATACGTGAAAATTGCATTTATCAGTAATGTAATATCATTGATAATCGATGATTATCAACGCGGAACACTTGTCCAGACTAACTACAGCAAATCCTCGCATCAATTTCATCTTTTCTTCAAGTATTATTAAAAATATAAAATATATAAATTGAAAAAAAAAATAAAGAAATAAAAATTCTAATAAATTTATTTATTTGGTTTAAAATAATTTTATTGTGTTTTTTGTCATAGGAAACAACTTAATTTAATTTTAATACTTATATCAATTTGATTTTTTTTTATCTTATACGACCTTTCTTTATATTTATTACTATACTAATATATGTATACTAAGAAAATGATCAAAGTATGAATATTTCAATTATATCAATTTCCTAATTTACTTGGAATTTAATGTATACATACTTGAAAATTGCATTTATCAGTAATGTAATATCATTGATAATCGATGATTATCAACGCGGAACACTTGCGACTACCTTTTTCTCATTTTTTCTATATTATTAATAAATAGGTAGAGATTAAAATGTCAGTAATTCAATCGCTTTGTTTTTAAAGATATGCAATCTCTTTCAACACATTCGATTTTTTAATCAAATCATTAGTATTTAAGATTTCCAGATTTCATATAATTCTTCTATGTTTAAAACATTTTCCATGTGTTGACATTAAATGGATAAGCTTTCCCGGAAGATAGTTACCATTATGATGATTTTGAACATTCATAATTACTTAAATCTATATACTAAATCTTGTGGTTTGCAACGCTTCAGTTTCACTGTTATCGAATAAGCCAATAGCTAGAACATTAGTATGTGTCTATCTTGGTATCTACTATTAAATATTGGTATTGTATCCTCGACCATATTTATATGAAGATCTTTGTGTATTTGTTTATTCTTGACGAACCATGGAGCCCTAACAATATTTCTTAGGCATTTTGATTGGAACCTTTGTAAAATTTGTATGTTTGTACTGGCCGCACCCCACAATTGGATACCATACGTCCATACAGGTTGCAGTATTACTTTGTATATAAGTAATTTATTTTCCACTGATAATTCCGACTTTTTTCCTAGAAGCCAGTAGAGTTTTCTAAACTTTATTTCTAATTGCTCCCTCTTAGCATGAATTTGATCTTTCCAGATGAGTCTTTTGTCTAGATACATGCCCAGATATTTTACTTTTGTTACTTTGAACAGTTCTATGTAATATTTCAGAATTATATTCGAGATGAAGTTTTTATTTAAAGATATATTTATTTTATGTGTGTTGAAGGTATTTGTAATATGCTATTTAATTATATTTACAGTTCAAGGTAGGGAGATAATTATGAGAGGTTGTCAGCTTCCAAAGGACGATAGACTTGACGTCTGCAAGAAGGTGTTCGAAATGCCGCAAGGTGAGCTGATCGACGTTAAGCATTGCAGCCTGTGCGATTCAGACGGATGCAACGGGACAACAGGAAGAATCGCCGAGGTCCTTCTAATCCTTGCAGCTGTTCTTCTAACAATCATCCATTAGAATTGCACCAGGATGGAAGTCGAAGTCGCAGAAGCAATAATCGTAAACAAATAATAATAATCAATCATTGACGGGAAAAAAAGCTTTATACCAAAAAAAAACGCCATGTACACTCCATGTAACTCGATACTCTACTTCTTAGCTTTCTAGTTGTTACAGGAAAAAAAAATACATCCAGAAAGAATGGAAACACGAGTAATTTATTATAAACGCTGATGTAAATATAATATAAATATACACACTTCAAAGGAAATCCGTGTTGAATTTTTGCGGTCAAAACCTTTGTAGAAGATTCGTGGTTCCCATTGTACATTCAGATGCAATCGCCGATTTAATGCACGGTTTTATTTGAAGATGTACGAATGATAGCGCATTTATTTATCTACGCTTGGTGAAATGTATTCTTCGTTGGCGAGACATCAAGATCGCAGTGAAACGAATGGTGGTAGAACATGAGAGCCAGGAGGAGATACAAAGGAAAGTACAAAATTATTTGTCTGAAAAGTATAAACTTGTCGTTTATCGCATCGCTTTCGCTTCATTGATTTCAATGGATTGCATCAAGAAGCAATTGAAACTTTATCAATTTGGTAATTCTGACGGACTTTGATTTCATTCATTATACTATATTTTATTTTTTCTAATGAAGCAAACACAAATAAAATGAGCATTTAATTTATTATTAGTCCAGACTAACTACATCAAATCCTCGCATAGTCCGGATAATCAATAAACGGGACTATTTGAAACCGGACTAATCGAGGAATTAAATACAAACAAAAAAGGAAATTGAAGTATTATCAGTAACACTAGAGACTAACTACAGCAAAATCTTGCATAATCAAATTGGAATAATCGAGGATCAATATACATACTACATACTAACTACATCAATACCTCTCTTAGTCCGCTTAATAAGTTCCAACAATATCCCAGACTATTTTAAATCGAGGAACAAAATACATACTAAAAAATAAACCGCGCAAAAAGATACTTGACTAAAAAGGAAAGAAAAACAAATATTTCATACAACAAAACAACCGGACTAATCGAAGTATTGCTGTATTCAAATCATTAGTTTAAAATAAAACATTTTGTTTCTGACGATACATTTTTATGCAAATACATACATCACCTTTGTAAACAATTATTCAACCTAATTATATTTAATTAAGTTATCTTAATTTATCTAAATTAGTATCAAATTATTATTTTTTTTAACAATCGATACACCTCAGAAGTGTTTAATTAAATAATTCGCACAAATTATTATAATTACGTAATTAATTATTCTTAATTAAGAATTAATAATATTATTTATTTTTAACAGTTTCACATAAACAAATTCCATTTTTTAATCTGCGACAATATAGCAATTTTTTGGAAATTTGATAAACTAAGTGAATTAATTAAATTTACTATCAGTTGTAAGTTTCAATTGATTATTATAGTATTCCAAAAATAATGTTTCCAGCATAAAAATCGATAATAACATTTTGATCATTCAATAAATTTCTAGATTTACTCAATGAATTAGTTTTACTATCAGTTATAGGATGCAACATGTATAATTTCAATGCAATTAAATTTTATGATAAGAAAAAATAAATTTTATTTCATTCGAATTTTTAATACAATATTTCTGAAACAAATTGAAATTAATATTAATAATTTATTGAAAAACTTATACAAACATTACGAAATAAAATAGAACAAATTTAAATAATTATAACCAAAGAATAAAGTATTACAAAATATTTGCCTATATATTTTTATATTATTATTATTTAAGAAAAATGTATTATTGAAATATTTTTTGGAATTGAAACCTGGCGCATCCACGTAAAATTATAACTTTTTCTTATAATGTTATGTATATAAAATATAGAGCGCTATGTATTATTGGTAGCCTATCCCTAACGACATGATCTAAATAAATTTAATTTGTGATTATCATCTATATCATAGAATCTGATAAGAAAGATGGCAGTTTTATGTTATTGAGATTTGATCAACAACATAAAAGGGAAGAAGTGTGGACGAAATAAGGCAGTAGAAATTTAAAAAAAAATTAGTATATTTCTCATCAAGGATAGGATATGAAAACTGTTTCAAATAGGTCTTAGAAGTCATACATTTTTTGCTTATAAAAAGAATGATATTATTATTATTTAGGACTTTACTCACTGATTACTTAACATTATAAAAAAATATTGCCTGGCGCATCCACCTAAAATTTATAAATTTACGTATATTTATGACTACAGAATTTGAATAAATCACTCATTTTGTGGTCTTATTTCTCATAAAGGTAACGATACTAAAAACGAATAAAATCAATAAGTTGAACAATAATAAGGTATAATAAATAAATTATGGACAATGTACCAAATTAAAAAAAAAACTTTGATATAAGAATACAAATTATGAAAATCATATATTTCTAGTAATATATTTTCATTTAGATTTATTATTAATTAGATTATTATCTTATTTGTTGATTTATATAAAAGTACATACATTTTATTTAAATTTTTTAATTAATTATTGTGTTAAATTAAATACTGCTACTTTTTTTTGCTATATTTTAAAATTTTGGTACTGGTATAATTTATAACTTTGGTTTTATATTAAATTAATTTTAGTAATATGTCGCGCCATCTAAGGTAAGATTCAAATATTACTAAATATACAAAAGTGACGTTTGCATTTGCATATTTCTAATCAGAAGTTTATCAATAGATGGCGATTATTAGTAATAGGATGATGTAACTCGCATATTACGCATAGGCTATTCTGTAGAAGTTCCCATTTTTTATTGGATTATATTCATTATTTTTATATCAATCTAATCGAACATAGATTTTATAATTCAAAGCACGTGAAAGTTAAGCAATTTATCATACCTGAACGCGTGATAGAAACTGCTTTACTGATAAATGGAGATCAAGTAGAATGAAGGTGAGTAATAAGATTCAATTCTGGTCTTATCCATTAAGCACAACGAGGTTTTTAGGGGTAAGACAACATAACATCAAAAAATCTCGTGGGCCCAGGTTTTTTATGAGACATACAAGACATTTTAGGGCACACGAAAAATGGTTGAATTAGAATACATGTTCAGTTTCTAAGATAACGATCAACTTCTATCACTCCTGCCTCGTGGGCCCATAGTATATGAGACATACAAGATTTTTTGGGCCCACGAAAAATGGTTAAATTAAAATAAGTGTTTAGTTGCTAAGATACCAATTCCACCTTCAACCTTGTGGGCCCAAGTTTTTAAGACATACAAGACATTTTTGGGCCCACAAAAAATAGTTTGATTGGAATACATGTTTAGTTGCTAAGATACCAACACTCGCCCAAAATCCACTCCCCATCGTTATCACTTAATTGGTGCCTAGGGCCCACGACAGCCTCAAATCGCCCATTAAGAGAAATTAATATAAATTTGCTTATTAAATATAAAAATCAAATTAATTATCTTATTTTGAAACAAGTTCCAAATTTTAGACGTAATAATCCCACAGTACCACGACTACATCCGTGGTCCCTATGTGAGGTTTCCTTTCCTCTACAAAAAAAAGTTCCAAATTTTATTAATGTGGACAGTACAAAAGATCTAATGAAAATTAGTTATTATCATAATGCATCTTTTAATTCGAAAATATATTTTGAAGAATAAAAAGATATGTAACTTTATATTATCTGCACGTATCAAGAAGATGTTAAGATTATTAGGAATTAGGGACTTCCCCGTTTCAGAGCAAGTGAAATAACGCATCAAGATAAATGAATAGAAGAACTGTTAACATTGAGAAGCTGTGAATTCCAGATGGATTCCTATGATTATATAATATAATCATAGGAAAACGTACTGTTTTTTATTCAATATTAATGTTAACCATAGTATTTAGGTATTGTTTATAACACATCTTCAAAATAACGTTACAAATTACATAAAATTGAAATGCTTCTTCTGCTTCTAGATAATCCCTAGATCAAACTGTGATCAATTTTTTTTTTTTTTTTGTAACCGGCACTCTGTATTTCAAAAGTATTGAGAAAAATACTGAAACTCTGAATGTATTTGGTCTAGTCCACTTATATTTATATGTTTGGTTTGGGTGCCGTCGTGATAAGATATGGAACGGTGCGACTAACAGCAGATGGGCGTATTACACAATTACCAAATAAATATACGAATCGTATTTATCGATTTCTATCTCTATACCTGCAAAAACATTTCATTCCAATAAAACTTAAATAATTTAAAGAAACTTACAACATAAACTTTGTTAGATAAGTAATGAGATTTTTTCATAAACTTCTTATTGTGTAATAATTATTAATATTTTTGAAAATTAAAATAAAAAATCAGCATTATTTTCGTGTTTTTCAGATAAATTCATTGAAAACACTTAAAATCTCAGAATAAATTTTAGCTTCTTATATATTCTTATCACGTAATAACTATTAATCTTTAAATTTAAAAAAAATCAAAAGACATTTTGAGTTTTTTAAGAAAAATACACAGGAAACACTTAAAACCTTAAAATAAATTTGAACTTATTGCATATTTTTCTTATGTAATAATTATTATATTTTTAAAATTAAAATTGAGAAATAGTTTTCTGCTTTTATTAAGAACATCATTCAAGAACATCCAATATAAATAGATTCCTATAAGTTATTGTTTATTGGGTTAATATGTATTTTTTAAGTTTATGTAATGAAATTATGTAATTGCTGAACGAATATGAATGATTTCTATCAAACTAAAAAAAAAACTATATTTTCTCATTCAATTTACTGATTATCGTTATGCATCAATTTTATAGTAATCTTGTCGCCAGACAGATTAAAATCGATTCCGATTGGGAAAAAAAGCGAGACGTTCAAATGACGTTCGATGTTTTAACGAAATGTTCAGTGTAAAATTCCCAAAATCGTTGGATTCAATTGAAACCGTTACGTTATCGAGCCAATACGTATTTACATCAGATACGTTTATTGATTTTATTACTTCAATAATCTCATGTTCAATTTATATAAAATCGTCTGTTGCATGCATTTAAAAATGAACAAAAAAAAAGTATTTAAAAATCATCGTCTGGTTAATAATTATAACAACATAATCAACAACAACAAATTAAAACGAAAACAGGAAATTGAACAGATGCACGAATCAAGTAATTAGTGTTATTGGAAATCTTATCAGAAATCGTTAAATGCGTCATTTTTTTTAAGATGAGATCACAGATTATACCTTTGACGAAAGACAAATCTTAAAGTTATTAATATTTAAAAATAATCATTTCCATCTCCTTTAATTAAATTGTTTCAGAATTATAAATAAAAAAGTTTTATAAGTTTCAACTTAAATTGAATTTCTTGATTTAAGTGGAAATAAAATTGATATTTGCATTTTGACAATAAATAAATTTTATGACACTTTAACATAATTATTTATGACATTTGACATATAATAAATTTTAGGAAATTTTACATCAAATAAATGAACTGAAATTAATAAATTAATTTTGACATAAAGTTTCAAAAGTGGATTTGAGTGGAAACAAATTTGATTTATGTATTTTGACATTACTTTGATGACATTTTGACATAAATAAAAAACATTAAAATATAATTATAAAACGAAATTAATACGAAATGTTACAGTTCACATCATTTTTCATTCTCCAATTAATCCAGGGTTTTATCGGGGCCGAGTGCTGATAAGCATGATTAACTTATGAAACGCAATACGTATTTATATAAGAGAATAAACGATAATAAAACGAAATAAATACGAGATCAATATTGAATTGGAAGCGAATATACACGATTCAGATCGTTCTAGAAGCGTTCAAATTCTATTTGAATTTTGATAATTACATAATTATGCTTTATTGTTTACATATTATTTGTTAATTATATAATTGGATCATTTTTATTGCAATAAGTCAACAATAAAATCTTGAATTTGAAATGATCTATTTAATTATTTTTAATATCTTTCAAATCTTAGAAATATTTAAGCAAAAATATAGATGAATTATATTGCATATTAGAAACTTTGCAAAGACAAATATTTTGAAATACGTAAACGTTGGACAATACAAGGACTTTAATATCTTCAATCTTTAAATTTAGTATCTAATCATGATTTCTTACTTTGACAGCTGTCATTTCTCAACACATTCAAAATTTTGAATTTTAAGTCAGTCATAGGTTGAGAAACACTAGTTTATAATTCATTCATTTTGGATAAAGTTGAAAAGACAAAAGAAAAATTCGAGATCAGGTCTATAATTTTCATGAAAGTATTATATTTTCAATAAAACAAAATATGCAAATTATAAAATTCATTTATGGACAAAGTTGAAGAAACAATTTAATAAAAGAATTGCATAAGCAAATTCAAACCACAAAAGTGATCTGTAATTTTCATTAATATATTAGATTTTAATACTTTCTAATTTTTCTTATTACAAACATTTTTAGTTTATTAAATTTATTTGCAATCTATTCAACTGAACATTTAGCAAATGTTCAGTTGATGGCTATTCCTTGATATCGTATTATTGTTTTTTGGTCAAAACTAAATTTAACATACAAGGGCTTGCAACATTTCAATCTTGTTGTACAGAAAGTTGACTGCTAATGGATTTCCATGAGAATAATTGTCCATTTGTCCATTACAAATAAATAACTTAATTTTATCTTAGATGATTTTAGAAAAGTTCACAAAGACATAAATTTCGTCAACAAAAAGTCTTGAGTACTTTAAATTTATGTTTATTATTACTATTAGGCAAAATCTTCTTTTTAGTGGAAACCACATTCGGTAAACAGAGAATTCTACCTATAACACCTCTGTAACTCTACAAATTCGTTTAAAATCATTATTTTAAGTGAAGAGCTAATTTTTCTGCACAAGTATGATGTACATAGAAAAGGTTGTTGTACTTCAGACGTCCAGGAAGCAGTTCTTAGTTGATCTTATTGTATGGTGTAACAACTCTTAAATGATGTTAGTCAATGTTGTTGATGAGAAAGTGATAATATTACGCAGATATATTGTAAAAAGTGGGTTGCAAAGAGGAAATCTGAAGGTCAATCTTCCTAAGGAAGAACAACGTGTGCTCATATGAATGGATGAAGAGAAGAGAGTAAAAGAGGAAGATGGTTACAAGAACTTATAAAGGGATTATTTCACATTTTAGCCAGGGCTCCAGAAAGGTAAACAGAGAATTCTACCTAAAACACCTTTGTAACTCTACAAATTCATTCAAAATCTGTCTTTTAAGTGAAGAGATAATTTTTCTGCACAAGTATGATGTACATAGAAAAGGTTGTTGTACTTCAGACGTCCAGGAAGCAGTTTTTACTTGATCTTATTGTATGGTGTAACAACTCTTAAATGATGTAGTCGATGTTGTTGATGAGAAGGTGATGATGTTAAGCAAATATATTGTAAAAAGTGCGTTGCAAAGAGGAGAGGTGAAGGTCAACCTTCGTAAGGAAGAACGACCTGTGCTCATATGAATGTATGAAGAGAAGATAGTAAAAGAGGAAGATGGTTACAAGATCTTATAAAGGGATTATTTCGCTCCAGAAAGGTAACGGATATTATTCACCTGGCGCTTTTTCGCCAGATGTACTTTTGTATGGCCAATTCCATTGAATAGTATGTGTTTTGTAGAGAATTCATCAAAGATAATTAGTTGAATTCAATAGATGAATTATTCCTGATAGCATACAAATCATGCATTTCCATTAGAAGTATTTACATAAATATATATTATAGAAATAATTATATTATATCGTTTATTGCACACGACAATTGTATGATTTGCACACGGCTCACTCCAAAGGTACGAGCATTGTTCTAAATATTATTATCACCATCATTAAGGAGATTATATTTGCCCAGTCAGCATGTGGAAAGGATTACTCCAGCAGTCCCAAACCCCATGACCCTATTCCACTTCATGCCATATGAAAAAAGTCACTTGAAATAGATCAAACATTTTGAAAGCTGATGTAAACCATTATCTTAACAGAAAATCCGATAATTACTGATGGCTATAAATTTACGTTCATTTGTAACGCAAGCAACAATCGACCGATCAAAATGACCAAAACACTGTTGCTCTGCGTTCTCCTCGCTTCGGCCTTCATCCAAATCGGTATATTATAGTTTTGGAAATAGTTTGAATTATATAATATTTATTGTGCCTCTTGCAGCCGAATCTGTGGAATGCTACGATTGCGTAAGCTGCGACGATGTTGATGAAAACACAAAAACTTGCAAAGGAGATCATTGCGTTCGTTTCGAGACCACAAGTACAGTAGTATAAATTAATTTCATCTCATTAACTTATTAGCAAATTACATTTGCAGCAAGCTTTGACAGCTTTTGCTCAGTCGATAAGGACTACTGTGAGCCTCACAAGGAAATGCCGCACGACTGCTTTGTTTGCGACGAAGATCTCTGTAACTCTGCCTCCACAGTAACGTCGTACGCAATTATTTCGACGATGATCGCATCCATGTTGATATTCTTTAAGTAAATGGTCTGTCGATGATAGATTTCCAGATGACTTTGTTGATGACAAAGAGATTATAAGGTGATCTGATGACAATGAGATTATAAGAAATATATATAATATAAGCAAATCAAGCATAAATTACTTAACAGATTCCATTATTCCTTTGGTATATCAAAAACTTATAACATTTGAATGTAATTCATACTCTTTTAGTTACAATTTTATTACAATATTCAAATTGGTACAGGTAAGTTTAAATTAAATTTTATATTAACACTTTTTGAAGAAGGTTTAGAAAGTAATTAATATTTAAGAGGATAGTTGCCATCTTTTGATAGGCGCCTAGATTGGACCACTATGGTAACTACGGTTTGTATCTTAAACTGTTCTAAAGTAAGTACCAAAATATATCATATTACACTTATTTGTAGTTAAATAAGTATAATATAATAGATTTTACTCGAATAGTTTAAAATTTGTATTAGATGAAATATATTGATTGTTTGTCTAAATTGCCTAATTTTAAACCACAAACAGTTGCCTGAATTGGACTATTCAAATTGAAAAAAAAATCATAACAAATAGTATCCATTAATATCATAAAGCAAAGTGAAAAATAAATGAAGAAATATTTTTTAACAATTTATTTTTTATCTTCTGACACCATCCGATTTTGTACGTTATGTGCAGAATCTAAGAAGAAATACATCAGTATACTGAAATATTTTACTCCAAAAGTACAGCAATACCTCGCGTAGTGCGGATTATCGTTTCCCTCCACTGGATTAAACAGGACTAATTGAGGTCTTTAAAACTAGAAAATAGAGCAAAAAATAACACGATCAAATAATTGTGTATATTTTTTTAGAATTTATTTTGCTCAATAATAATTTACTTTTTTTAAATTTTTAAACCAGACTATTCAAACCGGACTAATCGAAACCAGATCACACGAAATATTGTTGCACTTTTAAATTATAGTTAAGAAAACTTAATTGAATCTAGTGGTCTATCCTAGAAAACTGGTTACCTTGATTGGACCTATTAACACATATTTTATATTAACTGTTTTACAATTCTGAATAGTATTTTAAAGTTTTTTTCAAGATCAAGAAATGTTACAACAACAAAAAATATTTTTTAAGAAAACATTTACTTTTATAATACACGCAATTACATATAAATACGTATACAATTTCATGCATTATTTTCAATATAAATAAAATAATAATTTATAAGTTATATTTGTAATTATGAAATTGCTGATACTGCGAAGAAGATGACAACGTTTATTAATATGCTATAGATTGGCAAAGAGGAAACAGGATGAGACAAGAAATCTTTGAGAATTGATAGAACCAGAGACAAAAAAGGATAACTATAAACTTTCTTTATTAAAGACAATAATTTAAACGATTTCCGCAATTAACCGATTGCAAAATTTACAGAAAATACTTTGATTTTTTTTTCTAGTAATATGTTATACTTTGTTTATTTAATTCAATTATTACTTGTTAATTCACAATGATTTTGAGCTTTATATCATTTTTTTTATATTAGTCCAAAGATATCTTTAACACTAGTAATAAACTTATAAATAAGAAACTCCACTTATTTACATACAAATAATCAAAAATTATAAATTTATTATTTTCAATAAAACTTTTATTCCAGATAAGATTATTAATGTTACAGTTATCAAACAAATAAGTCATGTAATTAATATAAAATAACAATCTTTTAATTGTTTTTGATTATTTTTTTTTATTTGCAAAAGCTAGTAATATTGTATTCATATGAGCATCAAGATTTTATACGCATTCTCGTGTACATTTTTCAATGATCTGCTTATAATGTTCTGATAACTACTTACAAAAAAAAAATGTGTTTTCTCTGAATCGAACGTAACATAAAAAGACGATAAGACGTTCAGATATTATCAGTTTATCATTGAACGAAATACCCGAATTGTGAATCAGAACAGGTTGATTAATAAACAATAGAAACAGTGTGTGAACGGTGAAACATTCCGATTACTAATCGATTACGATCCACTTACTTTAAACATGCATAATCAACGCAAACAACTTCAATGTGATAATAATTTCAATGTTGAAAAACAATTTCTATATATTTTTTTTTATATATATTTCATAAGATATTATTTAATTTTGATAAATTAAGTTACATATTGAGTTAAAGAAAAAATTGTAAATCGACGTTGAAGGTTTTGCTTTTTACTTAATAATTTATTGCATAAGTTCACTTTATAACAAACGCATCGAAAAAGTTCTTAACGTAACATTTCAAAAAAAATACAATTATTTCAATAATATTTAAAAATTACTAAATTTATTTATGTTTTTCATGTATTTTTTCAGTTTTTCTTTACCTGTTATTTTTTATATTTAATATCCAAAAATTATATCGATTTGAACATTTATTACTTTTATATTTAAAAATAAGGTTTTGTATACAATTCTTCTAGGTATTAACGCGTATTATTTAAAATAACATATTTTAGGTACGCAATTCATTAATTCTTGGAATCTTCTACTAATTCTTAGAAAACTACAATAATCTTCATCTCCTTATATCTAAAATACTATATTTTAACTTCGTCATTTCTTAATTCTTGTATTTTCCAAATTATTCTTAGAAAACCACAGAAATTTTCACCCTTATTTATCTAAAATAATATATTTTAATTTTCTATCAATTCTTTAAATTCTTCAAATTATGCTTATAAAAAACACATAAATTTTAACCTCTCTATATCTAAAATAATCCATTTTAACTACGTAATTCATTAATGTTTTGAATCTTCCAAATATTCTTTAAAAATCACAATAATCTTCACATCCCTTGAATAAACCATATTTACTTCGAAAAATTCCTGAATTCTTCAAATAAATCTATTCTTTTAAATTATTTACTGATTATACATTGATTAATTATACAAATCAATTATAAAAAAGTCTTGGAAACTGGAAATAAACTGGAAATTGTTAAAATAAGAATTTTTTTGAAAATATGGAGCATCTATCATGATTGTTTACCAAAAAGAAAACTTCATATTGATAATATTAATAAAAAATAAGTAACAAACACATGCAGAGATTGAAATCAAGAAGAAAATTATAATTTGTCAATCAGGAATAAAATATTCCATTAATTTCTTATTCTCAAGAACAATCATATAAATAAATAATTTTCAAAAAAAAAACAATAAACTAACTAATTAAAAGAACACAATCAACTTTCGCTCTTAATTTTATTAAATACTAAATTAATTTAATGTGTTTTTATATAAAGACAATGTTTTTGGTTCTTGGATAAAATCACAGATTTAATATTGTCATAGTATAAATCTAATTTTTCTTTAATACAATATTAGATTTCATTAAATAAACAAAATAAATAAATTACGTATTCCATTTTGTAATGCAACTATATTTATTATGAAATAAATATTATACTTTAAAAAATGTAATATTAGAAAGACACAGTTTAGTAATTTTGTAAATGAATGTTAGTTAATGAATCACCCTTAATCATTTGGTTGATTCATCAGTCGAAGAAGTCAGTTAAATGGCATTGTTATTCAATAAGGTTACAGAGTAGTGGCATTGTAGTAGTGTGAAATTGACAGTTTGTTGAATTTAATAAAGGGGGAGATGGATCAACGAATCAACTGAGCTTCTGATAATGATGAACGTGAGATAACTAGATACGAACGGGTATAAAAGCGACGGTAAATATTGATTTTCATTATATCAGTCAAAATGGCAGTCAGCAAAGTTACCTTAGCTTTTGCACTCTTGGTCATCTGTTGCTCCGTCTTCGCAGCGGGTAAGTCCATCTACAACATTGATCATCATTAGCAACTAAGATTAATCTAATTATTTTCATATGTATATAAAAGACGAGAAGTTTAAGTGCTACAAATGCGATCAAGGTAAAGTTTGCGAAGACAAAAAAGATAACTCTCACGAATGCGAAGCAGGCGAGAAATTGTGCTACATCAAAGAAATTACAGGTTAGTAATATACGTCTTTATATATATATATAAGATTATATACATTTTTTATTAATATTTTTTCTAGATGGATACGAACGTGGATGCACAGCTTCCAAAGATATCTGTAAGGATTTAAGTGAAGAAAAGTGCTCAACCTGCGACAAAAGTGAATGTAACTCCGCTTCTGGCATCGCCTCATCCTTGGCTCTCAGCGCCGTCGCTGCTCTCCTCCTGAAGGCGTTCTACTAATTATGCAATCAACGCAAATAGCTTCTAAATTATTGTAAATGAAACAAAGTTGGAGTAATAAAAACTATTTATAAATGCTGCGCTTAATTTTGCAACAACAACAAAAAAACGAGTAGGATAAAAGAAACCGTCCAAGGACGACTTTCGCAGGAACCGCACCCAGTTTTCTCCATCCTGACATCCTTATCTTATCTCCCTTAATCAAATATAACGTAGTACATAAATTTTATCGATTTTTTTTTGTGCATTTTTCAATTGCCGATCAAATAAACCTACTCAATTTTTAATAGAACACATTTTCTATTTTTTTTTTATTTTTAATACTCAAATCTAATGATATTAAAGAAAAATTTCATATAAATGATAGGATAGAATCGATAACATCTATACAAAAATAAGATAAGATATTAACTTTTTATGATTTTTGTATAAAAAAGAATTATGAAATTCTAACATAGTTCAATGTTACCTACTCATTCTAATTCATCACAATTTTCTATGTTAAAATCATTTTCATAAGAGCAATATTTTCAAAACTAATGATAAGAATCAAAACCTAAATGATAGGAACAATGTAATCGACTCAAGTTGAACTTTGACTTAAAATACTATTATACTATTTGTTAGTATTATTTATATTAATAATCAATTATTATTTTGGATTTGGTTTGGTTAGATTAGAGGTCGGCAACGCGTGGCTCTTTGTATGAGTGATTCGTTATTGAAGTATCATCATTGCTTCTATCGATGGGCTCACGATATTCATCACTGCATGCGTTTCACTAGCTGAAACTGTTACCCACCCACTTGTTAGATAGAAATTACCGAAAGTAAAGCTGATGGAGAAAATAAGTTAGAAATGTACACAGAATTATTCTAATTATGTAATGTATTTGTTTAATAGAAATAGTAGTACTTTACTGAATTAATATGATATCTTTTTTAAATATTTGTATATTTTTGATGTGTGAATCAAATAGGAATGCATCAAGTTACGTTAGTTTTGATTGCTTGAAACAAATATTACATAACATTGAAATACAGTGGAACCTTAACGAGTTTTCAATCCGTTCCAAATTTTTTACTCGTATAGTGAAACATATTAAAAAAATACACATAATATGTGTACACAAGTTTTAAAAATGATGTAGCAAGCGCACAATCCAGGACTTCTCTTCTCATCGTCACTCGTTATGCGAAATGTTGCTCGTTAAGCGAGTCATTTTTCTTACAATTTATTTTGCTCGTTAATCGAAATGTTCGTTATGCGAGGTGCTTGTTAAGCGAAGTTCCACTGTAATTTGATTACATATCATAGGCTATGAACATATTAAGATAAGATGTTATTATACATAAGTATGTTTAACGGATGTCTAAAAAGAATCCTTATGAAATAGTTCCAAGCTCTCTTGACATATATATATATATATATAAAAAAATATATTTAATAAAGCTAATCGTAAAGTGGAATCAATGTTACGCAATGTTTAATGATTACATACTTTCTAAGGGATCGTAAGAGCATTTCGTAAGCAAATTCAACTGTTTACCTATTAAGGCGTTATCGATTAATAAGTGGAAAGGAATAGCAGGCGATAATATCTGAATCATGTACGCTTTATCAACATTGATTACGAGCCCGAGATAAAGACGGGACACCTAGAATTGTTCAGTTCGATTTCGAAAAATGGCCACCATCAAATTCCTAGTTGTTTTGATACTCGCCCTCAGTGTCTTCGCCGATGGTAAATTGAGCAATACTAAATGAAAAAACACCAATGAACTTTTTCTTCAGGCAAGATCTTGAAATGCCACCAATGCGATGGATTAGTGGAATGTGACGCCAGCGAAGATAACCTTGCCGATTGCAAGGAGGATCAACTCTTCTGCTATATCCGTGCCATAAATGCAGAAAATGGTAAGAACTTTATTTATTTATTTTTATTTACGTCGTATCATGGATTTGCTTCCAGATAAGTTCACGCGAGGTTGCACCTCAAATGGGAAGATGTGCGAGGTGTTGAAGGGAATAACTTGCGGAATCTGCCAGAAGGATGAATGCAATTCTGCATCTACCATCGGATCCACTGTCATCGGCATCACGTCCCTCTTGATTCTGAAAGCTCTGACCGATCACTTGTAAATAATCAAATGCATTCTCATAAACTGTATATTTAAAAATTTATTATTTTTTATTTCGTAATTGCTCGAACAAAGAACATTCCCAACATCCCTCCAATCTCCCTAAAAGTTCTAGGCAAACTTCTAAAAATAATTATGTACATTAGCACTTCAATTCTATTTAGTCCTTGTTATATACATCTATTAATCTAACTTTAACCTGACATACCATAAACTGATCTTACTAAAACCAATCTAACCTGGCTAGTTAATTAATTCAATTTTCAGTAAAAAAATATTACTAATCACATATGATAATTAATTATCGATTATTGTGTAACCTTTCAATTTCTGATAAATATTCATTCGTAAATAAATTGAATCGATTATATATATACAAAAAAATAAGTAAATGGATATGTTTACTTCAATGATTGTTATGTAATTTAATTAAATTATTTGACGTTAGTATAGTTATGAAAATGAATATTGTATATGAGCTTTCATGAGAATTAAAATAGCTTTCGTGCACACATACAGCGATGCGAAACTAATGGAAAATTCTTGAGTATATAAATGCCCGAACGTTTGGAATTGGTTCGAAGTTCATATAATGAATTGGATCTGCTTGCTGCTTTCGTCCTTGGTGATGGGTTCGTGTCACATCCAGCTGCCAAGAACCATTTCCTACAACGTTATGAGCGAGGCAATCCTCGGTATATCCAGTCTGAAGTACACTAACTTCGTGATACTGGATGGAAGCAGAGAGACGATGCTCTTCAGCCGCATCTTCCAACCGCTTGTAAATAACGTATCACATCCGAACTGCATCTGCTACTTCAGCAGGAATTATAATTTTTCGTTCGAGATAGAAGCGAAGAACGTCGTTGAGATCAACTTCAGCAGTGATGTGGAGGATCTGAAGGAGACAGTTAATAGTTACGTTGGACGAGCGTTCGATCGTTACAAGAAGTACATATTTGTGATAAGGCAATTAAGGTTTCAGGATGAGATAGATGTAATGGATGTGATGGACACGATATGGAGGAACGATATATGGAACTTCAATTTGATCTACTTCAATAGATCGGTGACAAATTTCATTTACAATCCTTTCTTGAAGACCATGGAAAAGACCGTACACATCACCAATCAGATTGGGATGTTCAAGAACTTGCACAGATATAGAATCCGAGTATCGATGGTTCGAACTAAGGGCGAGTTACGTGATAACAAGTACTTCATCGTCCTAGAATTGATTGAGAAAATTTTGAACGCGAGTATAGTCTACAGTATTGATAAGGATACGGATGAGTCTTACCAAAAGGTAAAGACCGGCAGATCAGAGTTCACTTTTATTGGACAGTTTTATGGTATCTTGAAAGATGTTAAATACACGGAACCATACAAACCGGATCACATAATCTTGATGGCTCCTAAAGCTCCATTAATCCCTCAATTCCTCAAATTCCTTATGGTGTTCTCACCCAAAATCTGGATCAATTTCCTACTAACCATAATCGTATGCGTGATCCTGATCTACTCAGTGGAGAGGAATCATTTCAACCGCATCCTGCTGGACATCTATCGCGTCTTCATCGGTCAAAGTGGGTATTTCAAATTCAATTACTACAAATTATCAATCAAGATGTTCTTCGTGGTGATGACCTACTTCGGGATGATCATCACCAGCGTTTACTCATCATCGCTCCTAGGTACAATCATCTCGAAGAGGTTCTATCCAGAAATGAACACGCTCCAAGTCGTGCACAACAGCAATCTCCCAATATGCATCAACAGTCAATTATCAAATTTAGTTCCGGACATATTTAAACACAAATTGATTATTCTATCGGGATCCGAGTTATATTTACATATCATGGCTGGAAACAGGAGCTGCGCTTACGCGATGATGAAGAGCTACGCCGAGCAGTATATTCGAAGACTGCGGAAATCCCAAGGCAAAGACTACTATCACTTGGTGAAGGAAAGCCTAGTTCCCGGATTCGAGTCGTTCTATTTCCACCAAAAGTCTCCGTTCATCTATCGCATCAACGATATCTTGAAGACCTTCGAGCAGAGCGGACTTTTCCTATTCAGGGAACACGATAAGGACTTCAAGAGGGTCGAGCAAGCTGAGTACATGCCGCTAAACTTACAGCACATCAGCACGGCCTTCATCATTCTCGTCATTGGTTTACTCGTGAGCTACTTCTGTCTGATCGTCGAGATGCTACTGCGCGCATTCAGCATCGACAACATCTTCATGAAATTCAAGAGAAAACACACAAATTTTCGATAAACTAAACGTTATATCCATGCCGTAGAAAAATCAATATTAGTGCGTTCCATTTCATATCGTGATCTACACTATTTAATTAAGTTTTATCAGAGCGACGATAATATATGTAATATGTTGCCATAACAAGATAACTGTTACTTTTTATTATATTAAACTCAATTAGAATGTATAAACCAACTTATATATTTAATTTTTATTACCAATAAGCTTACATAAAATATGTTTTATTAGAAAATATGAGCAATTTTAACATCACACATATATCTCGCTAAAAAGCACTTCAATAACTTCATTTGATGGCGAGAAACATATAAAATATTAATTGATGTACTTGTTACATAAATATTGTTTATATAAAAAATAAATAGTTTATTTTTCAAATATTTTAATCTTGGATGCTTGATTAAATACAAAGTATCATAATTGAATTGATTACTAAATTAGATATTAGTAATATCAGTGAAACAAGTAAACAAATATATTTCTGACTACAACTTATACAATAATAATAATAATAATAATATACAATAATAGCTCTTCGGTTGTGCAATTAACCGGTATAATAATTACATTAAATAAGCGGTGTGAGTCGTCTGCACACAATTTTGATTACAATTTAATACCAATAGTAAATCCGTTCCTATCAATGAAAAAAACATTGGAGAAGGATGGGAACGGCAATCGCGTACAGCAGATGGTTGATCCGTTCGATAGATGGATGACCGTTGCACAGATCTGTTTCACAATAGTCTAACGTGCAGTCTGCGGTGTACGGAATATCCAAGCAAGATTGTTTTGTCAAGTTTTTATAGAAGCACGATCGCATCAAGGACGTCCTGCTCCTAACTAAAAAAAAATATCAATGATTCCTATTTGACACTCAGTGCATGGTTCTAATTTTTACCTTTATGTAATGCCTTAACGCAAACCTGACCCTTCTTACACTGCATTACATCAATCACTTCGACGTCCGGCAATAAGCATGTAACGTTCGTTTCCGTGACACAATTATAGCATTTCAGGCTGTAACCTGAAGCCAACAGAATATAGTTATTTATATGTACATAATGTTTATACTAAGATCTCACCTACTTGCAAATTAATAAGCATCAACAGCATTACTAAATTATAATTCATGACATTTAGTTTTACGTCAATTAATATTTGAAGCAGCAACGTCAAATGAAGATTGTCATAAATACAAAATGATGTTCGAAAATCATCGAGTTTATTTCCAAATAATAAAAAAAAAATGGTTATATAATTAGTTCGTTTTTTTAATATTTTCCACATAAATTGCTACAAACACAAACAATGCATGCAACAAATACAAACAACTTTATCTTATCGTTAAATTTATATTATTGAACGTATTTGTTACTAGATATTATACATAAAATCAATTCTCAATGTTTTTGGGTGATTACAAATTAAACATCAAATGATACAATTATATAACTAAAATGTTGATCGTGTAGAAAATAATTAAAGCATCTAAGATTATCTTAACAGTCCTGAGAACTGTACAAATATATTAACTAAATACAAATTTGGAAATCGGAAAATCTTTATATATGTCTAATACAAGACTTTCGTGCAGCCAATCCTGCTTTTTGATTTATATGAAATCGCTAAGAGGGGGGTCTA